AGCATTCAGCAATTACTGCCACAGGCAAAACAGACTCAGCTTTGAGAAATTAACTGAATTTACTACCAATCAAATCAGAGAAGGTTGATGAGAAAGAAAACAAAATCTTAAAAATACCTTCCCCTACCCCTCCCTTCTTCTCAGGCTTAGCTTCATGCCTGATTTCTCTATCTTGTCCCTCCTGAGCGGCACAGGGGGACAGGGAACGGGGATTGTGGTCAGTTCATCACAGCTGTCTCTGCTGCTTCCTTCTCCTCTGAGGGAGAACTCCTCTGCTCCAACATAGGATCCACCTCACAGGAAACAGCTCTCCACAAACCCTCCAACATAAATCTTTCCCAGGGGAGACAGTTCTTCACGAACTGCTCCAGTGTGGGTCCCCTAGAGCGTCACAGGTTCTGCCAGCAAATCTGCTCCAGCGCAGGCTTCAGGGGTCACAGACTACTTAAGGCATCCACCTGCTCTGATGTGGGGTGCTCCGTGGGCTGCAGGTACTTCACTGACAACCTCCACGGGCTACAGGGGACATCCTGCCTCACCACTGTCTCCACCACAGGCTCCAGGGGAACCTCTGTTCCAGAGTCTAGGGCACCTCCTCCCCCTCCTTCACTGACCTTGGTCCCTGCAGAGTCCTTTCTCTCGCATATTCTCACTCCCCTGTCCAGCTGCAATTGTTCTTGCACAGTACATTTCTTCCTCCTCCTTAAATATGCTGCCACAGAGGCGTTACCACCATCGCTGATACGCTTGGCCTTGACCAGCAGCGGGTCTGTCTTGGCTGGCATTGGCTCTATCAGGAAGCTTCTAGCACTTCTCAGAAGCTGCTCTTGTAGCCCTAGAGCTACCAAAACCCTGCCACGCAAACCCAGTACAACAGCTTTCCAACGAAATTCTGTTTGCATAGTCATACGCTGTTAGTCTTCCCAAGTAACGAGACATTCAACACAATTTGACATTAGAGTTATGTTAAAAAAGAAAAAAAATTACACTCCTACAAAGTCAGTAGAGAACAGGTGCCCAGAAACAGAAATACCGTCAGCACCAATAGTACAAGACTGCAGCACAAAGTCACCATTTTTTGAACACCAGGGAACCCACAGAAAAACTCAGGAAACAGAAACCAGGTTCTGCAGCTCATTGGTAGATATTAAGGATCATCTATACACTAAGCTACATACAGTAAACCCTTACTGAATGATTTCAGAGGTGTTTCAGAGGCATTCCCCTCTCCCTCTGAACTGAATTTGAAAGAAGTCCACATAGATAAGCATCACCATCAGCATCCATACCACACAATTTTCACTTGAATAATATTTATCCAGCATTACTTCAATAATTAAAATTGAAGTAATTTCAAAGTGGTTGAAAAACACTTCTGGTTTTCTTTAGTATTCTTACAATTTTGTTTCATAGATCAAAGGCAACTGAGAGGATTAAACAGTCAAATCTGTTAAAACTGATTAACAAAAACCTAAAAAAAAAAACCACAACAGAAAAGCAGTAGGATACTGCACTACTGACATGTCTGGAGCTTTTTTCCCCTAAAAAGTTACACAAAACCCCCCTCAATGTTCAAATAACATCATTAAGTTTACAATTAACAGAGGAATGTGATAGCTAGAATTGCCTTTGCAACACTGATTTATACAGTACTATAAACTGACTCTTTAGGACCAAATCAAAATATTTTTTAAGAGAGAAAAAAAAGGAAATCATTGCTTATGCAGTGGAATAGTAACCCAAAGGACTGCATTCTCCTCCTATTTTTGCCACAGAATCTTATGTGACGCATTGCAGGTCAATTTTACCTTTTTACAGTTAGTTATTCAAATAGTGAGGAATACATAATGAACACTTGATTTGAGTGTTTAGGACTCAATTTCTAACAGCTCACACAGAGCATTAAAATACATTAAAAGTATCAGGCGTCGTTCTCCCAAAGGAAATTCATAGCCCTGGAGTATGAAGGCAGGTTCCTTTGTAACATATTGGGAAAGCCTGGGGAGTTCAGAATGCACTTCACAAACCAACACACAGGTAGTCTATGGAAACTTTCAGTGAGTACATGTAGGTTTTAAACTTCCCCTTCTCATGGGCCTAACAGCACATCGAGTGTCATGCACTGCCCCAAACTCTTCTTAAATGTTCAAGTTTCTCCCCTCAAAATCAGAGAAACGTGTAACATTCCAGAACAGGACAAGCAGCAAAATGCTCATAATCAACTCCCCTTAGCCAGTAGCTCAGTGTTTAGAATGCTTTGACCTAGCTCCTGCATTTTAGGTTCTCCTCTGACAATTTTTCTCCTTCTGCAATAGTGGTCTGGGTCTCTTTGTCATTATTTTGTTCTTTTTGCCTCTTCAGTCACCACTTTTTACTCATTTGCTGTCTTCGGTCACAAGCCCAGTTTTGGTCAATTTGCATCACATGGGGCATTGAAGCAAAGGGCTTTAAATTTCCCCTTCCTGATCAGCTCAGACCAAAACACTTCTAGCAGAAAAGGAATTTGTGTAATTCAGCTGCTATATGGCAGCTAATGTATTAAAATCACATTTTTCAAAAGTCATAAACATATAATGCTAGCAAGCTTGCATAATTTTCACATAAGTGGCAAGACACTTCCTTTATACAAAGGTCAATCCCAGACATGTTTAGTTCCTTTAGCCTCTTCCAAAGATAAGACTGCCAGCAAAGCAATTAGCAAAGCAATGCATAAAAAAAAGTTTGAAGTAAACACCTGAGCCCTGAAAAGGGGATACTACAACAGAATGTCAAGCAACATACTACCACCTCTATTTGTGAGGCACACAGCCTCATCTCTAATCACTTCTGAACAACTTCTCTGCCACAGACAACAGCGATACCTGGTGCAGCAGTAATCAGAATGTAACTAAGCTATTTATTCCATAGCTTCAAATTCCATACTAAAGGTCTGTTGTTTGGGGTTTCTAAATTATTATAGCCTTATACAGTTGCTATTGATATATTTGATATACAAGTCTTACCAAGTAAGACATCACATGCAGAAGGTAATCAAATTTACCAAGAGAATGAGCCTCCATATCGCATACAGTTCATTGAGTGAAGATTAATATTTTGCAAAGCACAGGTCATTCTCTAACTATAGAACATGTAGTATTAAAAACTCCAAACAAAAAAATCTGTAGACACGAAAAAATTAGTTGATTAACAGCTTTAGGAAACTGCATCTTTTTTCACCACATGGTGGTTTTAATTAGAATAGTGTTTTGTTATTACACAACATATAAAGCAAATTAAGCTTGGTAAGTGAACATGCTGCATTACTTCACTTGGTATGACAGATCACGAGATCTTCTGGATTACCATGTTTCAGTTCATGAAAAGTAAAAGAAATGTTAATATCTTAAATATAGCAAACTCAAAGTCACAGAAAAAGCAAGAGAAGCTGAGCAGCTCGCAGGAAAACTAGCTGATACGTTGGCTGAATACATTCTGCTATAAAGTTCCTACAAGCACTCCCTGAGGAAGAATAGTATCTCCAGTCAGTCACTTAAAAAAAAAACAAATCACCAGATAAACAAACAAAAAAAACAACAGCAAGAAGCTTCTGGCAGTGCTCAGACATACAAATTTGAAATTGAGCCTCATGCTCACACTTCAGTTTCTTCAAATTAAACTTGGAAGTTTTGTCAATGTGAATAAAATCCCATGCATGTATTTTGACAAAACATGACCAGAAATATGGTAATGGCAAAAAACTAAACAAACTAAGATGAAAATATGGCAAATATTGTAAGGTTTTACCTTGCAGGTAATTTTGTAGTCTGGAAATCAAGATTGGGGTTTTTCTTCCTACCAATGTGTTACTAAGAAAAAAGTTCTGTCAAAAACCCATGCTTTTATTTAGTCATAAATGTAGATTTAGAGATAAAATCACATCATAATGCACACCCTTTTCTGCATTACTAGATTACGTATTCTCCTACATCCTTAACCAGATCTAAATATACTTTTTGAAAGATTATCCAAGAAGAATGGAGATCAAAGTCTATCCAAGCGGAAGTGATCTTAAAAACAATGTCAAATACTAAGGAGAATAAGGGTCTGAAGACTGGCATTTGTATTCAGTTTCCTGTCACTATAAATATAACTCCTTCATATAATACACATTTGGTCAAAATATTCCTTTATATCAATTTTTATGTAATGATTTTGAATAATTCAGAATTAGGTTCACCCACACCCACAAAAAAGTGTATTAAGTTAGTTGCACAGGATGCGGATGCGTGTGCAGTTTTCCATGTATCCTTAGAGTGCCACTCTTACCATCCTGTGCTGAATTTGGATGACGAATTTCTGTTAATCTACAGCAATAATAAGAATGTAAAGAAATAATCAAATTTAGGGTGGGTTTTTTTTAATACATGTAAAGTTAAATTGTTAAAAGTATAAACCAACAGAAATTAGCAGTCATTTATGTTCTTTGTACCCTCACAGGAAGATTCCCAGGAGAACGACAAGGTATTTTGCCATCGCAGTGGGCTTGAGCATGAGTGCCACTAGAATACATCAACAAAAGATGGCAGTTCTTTGATGAGGAGAAAAAGATGTAACAGGTTGAAACATTAAAAAAAACTAGATACACCTGTTTTTCAGCACACTTGCCACAATGTGTACCCTTGATTTTCTCTCCCATCTAGTCAAAAAGGCCACACAAAAAAATATCTGTAATGAAAAACTGAAGCAAAGGAGGATACATGGAAGCAGCCTTCCCAATGGATATGTTTCCACATGTATCCCAAAACTGATGATCAACCAGAATAAGGAAGTGCATGTTCAAATGCACCTGGAGAAGTTTCCTCATTGGACCCTAAGAGCTTGAGTTTATCACCTGTGTTATTTATCGTTCAATGCTTCAGGAACAAGATTTCCTTCATGCTTTTCAGCAAAAATTAAATTTATCAGAAAATGCGACTATTAAGCAGATGTGCCACATAAGTAGCAACGACAAATCCACTTACTTTTTTCTCCTTCTCATGATGTTTATCCTGAGAGTGAGAGGAAGAATCACTTAAACTTTGATCATATGACCTATTAGATCCCCGTTTGCTCTTTTTCTAAAAAGAGAAAATACATTTATGGATAGAGAAAAGGAACCATTTCAACAAATAAAAAGTATAAAGCATTTCAACTAATAAGACGCCTTACTCCTTAGAAAGATAAAAATAAATAAACCACCCTCAGTTACTGAAAAAAACTGTCGGTAAACGAACACTAGCAAAATTAGCAAGACTATCCAATGTATACCAAGAAGAAAGCCTGTCCTTACAAGTACTTTTACTGCTCCCGTGAATTTGCAAGATATGCTTTCTGCAAAGAAATGAGATATGTCGCATTTTAAAAGTTCAGATGCTAGGCACATTTCCAAGTTTTCACAAGCTAAAACAGAGAAGATGCTGCTCAAATGAGGATCACAGAAAGCCACAGGGTTAGCACTACCACATGCCTGAAATGCATTGTGAGGTGGCTGTTTAACAGTTTCATGATTTACTATTCAAATGACCTGTCTGCAATATGTACCTTAACATGGCTTTAAAAATAGGATACGGAATGCTGTGGTCACACATGCATTTACAAGTGGCAGACGAACTGCCTGTTATTTCTCCCTAGTCTGGGACTGCAAATACTTTACGCTAAGCCAGTGCTCAAAAAGTTTGTTATTTTATCATTACTGAGGTAACTTTATAAAGACACTTCAGGCAAGTGCTTTGCCAACCAAAGTTTTCAGTGGTATAGCAGATACATGCCACCCACCACCTTCAGTAGTAAACTAACACTAGCATTTGCCAGGCAACAGCCACAATAACCCTAAAGAAACAGTTAAAACAATCTTGAGGGTCTTTATTGGTCTTTCCACTGTAGTTTTGCAATGGAAAATTAACTAACTACACGTAAAATACAGTTAAGTCTTCATAATTAAACCTGCTTTTTAAATTAATATATGTGTTCTAAAGCACAGCAGCACTGGAAAATTCAAATCAAATGCCTAATAGTGTAAGAGCATGCCTTCACTGTGAAGTAACAGACCATTTGTGTTCTTTTTGTATACTTAGCTCAAGATAATAATAAAAAAATTTAAAAAAAAAATCTTTGCTGAGTAAGGTCCTAGAAAGCCCTGACATATCTTTGTTATGAAACAAACTCATCAATATTCACAAGGGCAGAGAGCTAACCGCAACCAAGCTTATCTTTTAGAAAGCTACAACGGTTCATTGGCCCTGGGTTTTTACCTCATTATGACCTATTTAAAAGCCGCCCAAGTATTCACCTTTATTAAGAGTGAAAATGAGTAATCGGCAATTTAACTGTACTTACACCAATATCTGAACTTAAGCTTGTATTTTTTTTAATTCTATATTCATAAATAACATTTTTTAAACATCAGTAAGTCCACACACTCACACACGTACACAGAAACAGGTATCTGGAACTGTCAAACTGATAAAAGTGATAAGAAGGACTCCAGAGATGTGCTCCAAAACCTATTGAAATAACTGAGACATTTCAAAGGTTTTTGTTTGCTCGTTTGTTTTTTAGAAATCAAACCTTAAGTCACTCCCCTGAGATTGTGTTTCAGAGAACTTATAGGCAGGGAATACCCACTGGCTATACAGTAAGAGACAGAATAAAAGGTTAAACTTTTTAATAATAATTAAAAAAAAGTAACAGAAGCAGAACGAAACGGAGGGCTTCTTTAATCTCCAGTACACTAGATAACAAGTAAAATTTTTAGATTATTCCAAAATGGACTATATTGCTACAAGCCAATTAATCAAATAGGAGAAGAAAATATTACAGGAACTTAACAAACAAAACACTAACTGTGCATGCTATTTCTGGCAGAGGGGAAATACCCACACATCTAGAAAGTATCCAATTATAAAAACATCTTCAATTAGTACTTCTGTAACTGTAATTAAAACATTGTTTTAATGAAATACTATCTACTTTCTGAGCTAAATGAAAAATATTATTTCTAGTGTTAATATCAATTCAGAGTGGAAAAAAAAAATTTGGTGACATTTATTTATAGAGTTTAACAAATACATACCAGTTTACTAAAATGGTATTTACAGTAGCCACAGTATTGGACATTATCTGCACCATTGCCTTCCTCTTCACAAAGAAGTCCCGCAAACTGTGCACTAAAAATAAACCAAACAACATTGAAGGAAAGCAATTTTACATCAGCTTGTACAACAACATCACTGCTGATAACATACGGATACTTAGTATCTGCGTTTAATAGAAAAGATTTCCACACAAGTGACTGCTAAGGGCACGTGAGCACACAGCCGACCTCTGCGGTCCCACAAAAGGCGTGTATGGGTTATACTTTGGCCTAACGCCTTTTTCATAGTCTTTAAGCCACTCGCACAAGCTTACAGCTTGAAAATCTACACTTATTATGCAGCTACCGCAACAAATACATAAAGCATGCAATTTACAGTGATTCTTAGCTCAAACTCAAGTCAAAAATTATCTATGGAAAAAACAGTTTTTAACAAAACCACATTTTTGAGGCTCCATACATCCTCCTCTGCTTTGGAAGGAAAATTACTTTTTTCTTTCCTCCTCTTTTTTTTTATAATATAGAGCTTCAGTGACATAATAAATCTAACCATATTTGTTGGTTTAAAAGACTGAGGCAGATTATTTTCTTTTAAAGAGAACAAGACTTACAAGTTTCCTTGCCTGGGCTAAATATTACCTTATTCTACTACAGGTTTTCAAATCAAATTTGCCTTTCACTATTTGTAATGTTGATTTATTTTATTTATCAAAACCAACTTAAACAGTGAAAAACCAAATATTTAGTTTCATTTTCCATATAATTTTCATTAGCATAATATAATGCTACAGTCAAAATGATGCACCACAGTATTTAAATGAAAGAACAATATATAAGGCAGCTTATTTTTGTTGCTTTTTTAAAATCACCTTCCCCTCATTTACACATTATGTTCTTGGGCAATCCAAAAATACTGCTTCCTAAATACATGCACACCTACAGCAGATGCCAACTACAGAAAACATTCAGAGCATCTCTTTGAACAACCATTTATCATTCTAAGCTCACCATACAAAACCAAATGGACTCAAGCTCCTTCTTTCTTAGGCATTAGTTTTATTAACCCAAAACTGATACAGCACGCTCTGGATCTCTGCCTTCTGCCGTTTTCACATTCTTCTTCCATTTTTCAAATATTACAGAAGCCTCTCAATATCCTCAGTCACAATACTCTCTGGATAAATATAATTTTATAATACATACCTGGCATTTTTAGAATCAAAAAGCTCTAAAAACTGACAAAATAAATATTCATTTTGAACCTAATTCTGAGGATCTTTATGGCATTTGCTGAAAACACAGGTTCGGAAGAAAGAAAAAAAGATGAAAAAGACTCTTGTATGCATCCAACTGTTTGAAAGAAAAGAGATCTTTTCATCTAAACACTTGGATGTATGCATTTTTACACATCTGTAAATAACCTTTCTACATGGTATGCACACTTTGAGGAAGACAAACTATATTCAGCATAAAATGAAACTTGACATTGATCACATCCAATAAAAAAAGAGATGTTTAAGAACCTGCCAGATTGTCAAGTAATTAAAATGAAAACAAACAAACAAATAAAATAAAAGAGTGGCCATGACGAAGCATACTGGGCACTCAAAACCAGACAGGTAAATGCACAGATTATGTAGCTAGACAGTCTGTGCAAATCTTCTATTCATCTATCTACTGCAAAATAGCTTCGCCTGAATTTGAAAAAACACATAATGCCTGTAAATTTTGGGGTGGAATCCCTTTGCCTCCTTTTACCTTTTGACATGTGGTTTAATCTAAGTAACCAGGTTCCTTTCAAGCCCATAAAGTGAGACAAGCATCTCCTGAATGGAAGCAAACCTAAATATCGTGAAGTTGCATGAATCAGATGGTGAACACAGCTGTTTTTCCTCAACAGCTAGATACGAAATCTAAATTAAGAGTTCAAGATAGATGTGTACCTTGTAGATAAAACCAATGAGATTAATTACCCCCAAATGTTTGGAAATCTTTAATGGAAGGGGTAAGTCTAGTGCATTTTTATGTATAGCTCAGAATTTTTCCCCACTGGTTTACCAGAAGTAACCATCAAATAAGTTAGCAGGTAAACAAGCAATGACCTCACCTTCCCATATTCTACAAAATATCATCTAAGAAAAATAACAAAAAAAAAAAAAAACACAAAAAACCACACTAAACCTTATACACAAGAGCACACACTATCTCTTACAACCCAGGGGAGTATCATCAGACAACTTCTGCACCTCACAGCTATGTCTATGCTGCCATTGCCACACTGTTAGTAAACGCTATCTTAATAAAGTTAGATATATCTACACAAACCAATTCATTTCTTTACTCACAAATATACTAAATAAAGGGTTTATTCATTACATTGTGTGCATTAATTATTTCTGGAATATCAGAGATGTTAAATAATAAAATATACTTACCACGTTACATGAAAAGCTTGTCGACATCCATGTTTATTACATGTCATACAAGCACCAGTGGCTGCTTTACTTTCTCTGCCTTGTTCATCACAAATATAGCATGTCTATTAAAGAGAAAATACTTGACATGGTAAGAAGCGTACAAATGGACTGTGTTACTCACAGGAGATTCTAGCATGAAAACTGATGGCTTTTGCAGCTAAGCTTATTAAATAACTTTTCCTAAAAGTCTCATTTTGTTTGTTTGCTAAAGAAGATCACCTAGTAGACACTTGGGATCTATCTAACACTTCACCAACATTAAAGCACTACAAATACTAATTTACTTAAATTCTATACTGCTATTCAACTATGCAAACAGTTAAACAGCCAAAGGTTAACAGTATTAGGCTTCAAAATTTTCCTTGCTTTCCAGTTTGTGTTTATGCCCATTCAGTTCTCAATCATTTTCATGTTCATCTAACGTTGCCTGTATTGGTGCCATTCAGAAACACCAAATTAGGCTGAGTGCCTAATGGTACAAGATACCATGCGGTATCCACGCATATATCTATAAAATTACACACAAAAAAAAGTGCAAACTTGAAGTTTTATTTGTACATTTGGTGTGAAGAATTCTCAGAAGTCTTGTAGCATGCTTCAATATTCAGATGATGCTCAGTCACCTTTAACTAAATATGGTGTTTAACAGAATTCTGCTTTAATTTCAGAATTACTTGGACAGCCCCATAAACATCTTAGAAACTAATTAAGCAAGAATCCTTTGTAAACAAAGCTTAAATTAATGTATCATACCCATTTCAACCTCAAAAAACAGCTAAAGTGAAAACAACCTGTCTAGTACCTGAAAATCTTTTCATAGCATTTCTGTTAATTTGTTGTCTTAATGGGATACCATGGCAATTTTTCATATATTTAAAAAACATTCTCAGCAAAATGAAAGGGGAAAAAACACAGACAACAAGAATCCAAAATTTCTCATTATTCGATACTTATTTTTAAATCAAAACACATAGCAAACAAAACATGTATATATATACTGTGTAGAAGCTCACTATTATACATCACTATAATGTCTCACCAGTATTTCAGGGAAACACATCAGACAAAACTAAATCTCCTTCCACTTTTTACTGTCCTAATTACTGAAATATCATTTAGACACATTCTATCATATCAATTTAAGAATATATTCTTAATGTAACTACCCTCCAGCACTGAGGTTTTTAACTGAGAGAGGACCTTACTGAGGTAACAAACATCAACAACACACTGCTGCCTCTGCAGAAATCTCACTATGAGACTGTCCTGGGTTTAGCTAAAAAACAAGTTCTGTTCAGTGATTTTTACTTTCCACTTCAGTCTCTTCTAAAAGGCTGCACGTTCTGAAGTCAGCAGCATGTTTGTGCAGACAGTGTGTGCTACTGGCAGTGATAACACCTGATGGTTACAGTTACTGCCTGGGACTGGGATGCAGAAAGGCTCTTGCTGATACTTATTCCTACAGGGACCAAGGCCACTGCTGGCTCTTGTGTGCCACGCTGGGGGTGCCAGGCAGGGAGAGGGGTCACAAGGAAGCAAAAAGTTGCACCTCCAGGGAGTAACAGACAGGACAGGTGACCAACGAGAGTATTCCATCCCATACACGTCATATTCAGTATAAATTGAGTGATCACGAGAGTTTCATCCCTTTTCTGCAATGGCCGGTGTCCAGAGAGGACTCCATCCGACCTCCTGCTTTTGATCCGGATCCTGAGTTCCTGAATCCAGCTCCTGCCGCCGCTGAGCCTGGGGTTGCAGCATCACCATGGATTGATACCAGGGGAGGGAGTCGGGTTTGATATCAGGCTACTATCTATAGTTGTATATAGTTCTTTACTTTAATCATTCCACTATTATTTCCATTATTTCATTACAGCTGTTCTAGTTTTAATTCTCTAACCCATAAGTCTCTCTGCCTCATTCCCTTTTTCTTCCCGTTCTGGGGGGAAAAGAGGGGGTTAGAGAGCATCTGTCTGCATTAGTGGCCAGCCCAGCCCCAACCCGTGACAGAGATCTTAGATGACAAGAGTAGCTTCTTTTCAAAAGGATAAAAAAAGCCTATATTTAATCTGTAACTGACTTAATGCAACACAATCTTATTGTATTAAAATCTCCCTTCAGCAACGCAGAGAACGAGTAAAATAACAACATCAAACCACACGTAGTAGAAAATAGTTTAAGAAAAATGGACTAAGATATTACTGAAATAAAAATTAAAAAGATATAATGCAAAACCAGTATTACTTAGAAAGCCACAAAAATGAGTGAAATTCTGAGATCAGAACAGCCTTCTACAGGGGTATTTAGCACAACATTTAACATGAGACTTGAGCTATCTAAAGCATTTTTGTTAACATGCAAGATGCTACTGTAGGTAAGTCACTCATGCACTGTTTCCCCAAAACTTTTAAAAAGCATTAAGCCCAACTACTAGATCCTAAAATCATACTCTATAGCCTAACATTTGAAGTATCAGAAAAGGGATAATCCTACTAATTCTTTGCCTTGCTCCCTCTGTACATCAAGGTAGCGTATACACATTAAGTCAGTTGTCTGACAGGGTCTGAGACTGGCAGCTCTTCAGCTTTCCACACCATGATCTGACACATTTAGATTTTAGGAACAAACAAGGTCATGATCTACCAACCTCACAAAAGTAACTGTATTAAGCATAAGTAACTTCAGAAGTAAGATACCTCTATATACAGCATTCAACACTGTAAAACTCAAGATTGTTACTGTTCTGTAATTTTTTTTTCTCAATGACGCTCAGGGAAAAAAAAGGTGATAAAAGCATTCCATTTAGTGAGCATGTAGGCCATGGTTTTCAACACTGCAAACTGCATTTAGGGTCTGTGTTTGTGGACCCCTTAATCCAATTTAAAGTAAAAGGAGTAAAAAATTGTAACAGATGACCATCTACGTTACAGCCAACATTTATCACAACATGGTGGGCTGCCCACCCATTTTAACAAGCTCCAACTTTGACCTTTCCTAAAATACTCCTATAGTATAAAACCTCCTTCCTAACCTTCCATATGAAACGGTTCCAAAGAAGGTTCATCTTCCTGTTCCAATCATGGACAGTAAGCTCTCTCCAAAGCTGACCTTCTCATACCCCTACCTTCCCTTATGCAAAAAAAGAATTTCAGAAGCCTGAGAACCTTTACCTTTCTTTCACAAAGCACAAAAACAAAGACTTCCATGTACTTGCAAATCCATGCAATTTCTACACCTCCTCTGAAGGCCTTTGGAATGTAGATGCGTAAAACCCTGTCCCATGAACTACAGCAGTGTTGCTGTTCAGAGTTCTTAAGGGAAGAGAGTACTTAGACTTCTCCCATTGAAAAATAAGCAAAACATTACAGAGACTCAGCAAGCAAATTTAACTCAGAAAACGCAACAAATATCTTAATTTCTTTAATGGCAGAATGCACATTTTGCAAAGCTGCCTTTACATTTCTGTCAGTATTTTTCCTTCGAAGATTCAAAATCTAAGTCTTCTTTGCAAGAGGAGGTAAAAAAACCCTTACAAAACAAAAAGCAATTTGAGAATAGTTATAACAGCTACCCACAGCATTCTCTGCTTACAGAATACAACCTACGAGTTGTACAGAAATTTCTCATGGTTGCAGTAAGTACTGCAATAAAAATCTAACAGCTGCCTTTACTACCACGCAGATCAAGAAACTCTAAATGCTCTTATTTTTAATCAGCTTATAAAAGAGATTTCTAAAGGCAGTAATTATATTCAATTACCACATACTTTCAAATGAACCTGAAAGAGACAAATACAGGTCACATAAAATACCCATTATCCATGTATAGCAATCCAAGGAATAAGAAACATCTTAATTGAACAGGACAGCAAGTCCATTTCTTTTGGAAATGACTGCGGAAGAAGAGTTTTCCTGTTAGTTAACCCACTAATCAAGTCATTCACCAGATTTATTCTGTAACGTGACGGTTTTTATCCCAGAAGCAGGCAAACCCCAAGGAGATGGCAGCCAAATGTCCTTACATTGACAAGTCTCAGGCTTTAGTATCTGATGTATTTCTCCGTGCATTTAAGATAACTGTACTTGGCAATGTTGTGTATTTCATAGTGTTCAATAAATAAACAAGTAAACAGAAAAAAACCTGTAAATTAAATACAATTTCCCAGCAAAACTCCAACTATGTTTGGCTTTATTTTAAAGACTATAGTACAAATTCTCCCTTATGATAATTTTCATTGGCCTATATTTTCCCTCAATTCCATATGCCAGCATTCTATATGCATCCAGCTGCACATGCAGAATTATTTAGGATTTCACAGGAAATAAAACCTTTCTTAAAAACATTGTGTTCCAACCTGAATTGACAGCCAGAATGAAATTAGCACTAAGCCTCTCTAAAAAGAGAAACTACTCCAGTCATTTTTTCCTAATTACATGTTTACATTTGTTCACAATGTGCAACAAATGTTTTAACAACTGCCTTACCTACTTCTCAAAAAAAACCAGCAGTTAAATGCTTTGCAAAGTTTCTGATCAAAAAAAAAATGTACCATTAAAAAAAAAAATCAATTTATATTGAATAGCAAAGAGGGCGGAGAGCAAAATTATTGCAAACTACTTGAAAAAGGAATTAGTAGTTACATTGGTTTGGGGAGTATTGCTCAAAACACTAGTTGGGAACTGGTGGCAGTTTAGCCACAGCAGTACCAAACCCTGCACTGGCTCCAGATTTATCAAAAAAGTTGGGAGAAACCCCTGTCAGTGACTGCCTCTTCAATTCTGTGCCGTCACAACTAGACTGCTGGTGGCGGTGAAGTTAGACTGGTTTCAGGAGGTTTGCTGCAGCAACTGCACTAAAGGCACTTCTTTGATTTCCCTGAAATGCACAACTGCAATCTCCCTGAACCAGATAGTCCAAATAAAGAGAGTAAAAGCTGAGTTCTATAAAAAGAGTGAACAAAAAAAATTAGTAATTTGCAGGCTGGGAGTGTGACCCTCAAACCTTAAAATTTCTGATACAGGTCTCACTATATTTTACAATTTACTGTATGAAAGTAGTTTTAGGCTGACTGTTAACATGGAAAATAGGCCCAAATCAGGACACCTGCCACAAATGCAGAAAAAACTAAGAACTAGACAACATCAAGAACTCTATCTCCATGATCTTTATGGCACTACTAACAATCTAGCAAGCAAAAAAATCATGGTAACTACACAACAACAAAATGCAAACTGCATTTTTAGCAGTAAAAAACCTAACTATACATCATCTGTATTTGGAACAGAAATGATTCAAGGAAGAAGCAAGTTCAGCTGTAACAAGAAGGAATTAAAGACTAAAGACAGAGACCAGCAAGGGACTTTGTGAACAAGTAATATTAAAAGATGCAGGGTACATTTTTCTCGAAGGGTTTACTCATCCAATATCAACTATCATCAACGGAAATGGTGCAAGATAAAATCCAACGTGTTCCACAAAATTTCTGAAGTGCATTAAGGAAGAACTATTACCAATAAAAAAAAATATATATATGACTACTACTCAAGGAGTAAGAAAACAGATGTGCTGTTGGCCCAGTGTTGAAGAGAGAAAATAAACTCATCTGCTACAACAAATCTGTACTGATTTGAGTCCAAGCACAAGAATTTTATTAGTTCTGCACTTAATCTCTCTGTTGCATGTTGTTGCCAAAGCAGGAGGAGGCCAATAGTGAGTAGCCAACACAGATGCTCAGGTAGTACATTTTGAGACAGCATGAGTAGGACCTGGAGTTTGCCTCCTGGCTTTTCGGATACTCTGGCAATAAGACAGGTAAAACATACTGACAGTTGCGAGAATCTGAAACACGCAAGGAAAAGACTGAAGTATGAAAAAAGTAAAAAGGATAGGAAAACAGGGGGGTGGCCCCACATAAATCAGAGATGTAAACCGGGGGCACGGAGAGGAAACAAAAATGAGAGGTCACAGAGACAACATGCACCGGACTAGCTTCCCCAGAGGAAAATCACAAAAGGTGATGTATGCCTTTTTTTACATTCTTTCTTTTATAACACAATCTGCTCCTCTTCTACCCCAGTGTCCACAAATGACCATAAAATAGAAGAATGAAACTAGAGGTAAACACAACACCACAAGAAAAATATGTAATAAATCTAATCAGAAATTGAGACAGTTTACTGGCTACAAGTAGAAGGAGGATGTAGTTACATCTAGTGAGTATGAGGTAGCATAAGTGAAACAAATGGAAAAATGTAACTATCAATATAGAACATTAATACGTTACTATTACATTCTTTGCTTCTTTTCACATTTAAAAAAACAGTCTCACCACACTTCATAAAACACTTCATCTCACCAACACTTATTTAGAGGCAGTTCTTCAATAAGTAAATAATCCCATTGCAGTGAATACTGTTTACAAGGCAAAAGTCTGTAAGCTTTTGCTTTAATATATTGGCATAGTTTTTCTTCCTAAAAGAAATGTTTATGAACATGTTCATGTTCGTATCAATACTTAAAACAGTAGGACTTTGTGGTAATTAATAAAAACATTTCAAACAAGCTGTAATAATATTTTAACCCATGGGAAATATTTCACATTCCTTTCAAAATAAACTGTTATTTAAAGATTGTGATATTTTTAATTAACAAAACAGTCCCTAATCTGTAGAAGAATAATGAGACATGGCAGATAACCTTACAGCTTAATGTCATAATATCACTTTCTTAATTCTTCAAATTCTCATAAAGTCATAGCAGAAAACATACAAGCATTACTGCACACATTTATGAACTTTATACAGACTGCATTCTAAGAAGTGTAGTTTTAGATTATTACAGCTGACAAATTTTAAAATAAATACATTAGACAGATAAGAAGACATATAATTATACCTTATTATAACGATCATGAGGAACAGACTGCAACACGATAGGTTCCATTGTAGAAACATTTGCAAACTGGACCTCGGGAATGTACAGAGCACAAACCACATGAGCCCAACCTACAAAAAGTTATAATTGTATTTAATTGTAATGTTTTCTAGAAGCTCAAAGGACATTTCAATTATAGCACATAGAATCATTTACAACACTTTTTTCCATGGACTATTTTAACTGTTTAGAATATTACAGACATAAGTTACTTAAATCATGTTTATATTTCATTTTATATTATCCAAAGTTCAGATGTGTTGTAAGACACCTTTAAGTTTATTCAGTGGAGAATTTATACAAGTAATACTCCACGAAATCCAAATACTAATGATTTATACACAGTGACACACAAACGGAAAGACAGGTTATTTCTTTAAATTTCTTGGATTAACACAGTCATTGCATAACACGTATGCAAATTCCTGCAAGAAGGAAATATCATCTGAACAAACTAGTGTTCATGCAAGCATTACCATCATGTAAGACTTCTGTACATACTTTTTATTTAAGCAAAGTCATTATAATTTGACTAGACTCCCGTTTTCTTTCTATAGAAAGAAATCTCAACACACACACGCACACGCCAAAATCCCCTCTATCAAGTCAATTCATTTTTTCAGAGGAATATCAACTCCTAAACCCAGTTCTGTTCTAAGTCATTAACTTGGGGTCACCAATAAATGTTTAGTTACTTACCATACTGGGCTTTACAGCATTTCAAGAAGTAAACATTCCTAATTGTCTGACATTTGGTTGGATGGGGGCACGAGGGGAAACAGCAGCTCGGAAAGAAACCTCCTAATTTTAGGTCTTTTTTTCAATACTAAGATTCTGAGACTTGTGAGTTTGTTTCAGTGGAGGACAGTTTGCCGTAACTGTAAATTTAGCAGAAGCTGCTACATAGGATAACCCAACATACTCATATATTGACACTAATAATAGGATTACAACAATAATACTGCATAGGACAGAGCTATCTAATTTCCAAGTGAATTTAGTTTGGTTAATTATTTAGCATGAATTCTGTTCTTCCCGTAGAGGAAAACTGAAGTCTTCTGTCACAACACCTTTAGTACACCTTAAAAATAATAGTGCCTTCCTTCTGCCCATGCTTGCTTGTATGCAAATACTAAGGACATAAAATGACAGACAGATAATCCTAACAAATCTTTAGATTAGGTAGAAAAAACAAATTGTCATTGTGCAAATGCATCCTATAAAAGGGAAAAATAAACAACATCACACCACACACAAACCCCACCATACTGCCACACTGCAAACCCTCTTGAGTTTTGTTTTCATCTTGGATTTTCTTTTTTTTAACTACGCTATTGAATGTAAAGGTTCTTCATTTCTTCATCCAACTGTACTTCGACTCCTAAACTGAGCTAAATGTAAAGTTGTACTTTCTTACAGTAGTATTGTCAAGACTCTGGAATGCTATTTAGTATCTGGAATTATGTAAGTGCTTTTTATTCTTTTATTCAAGCACAAATCTTTTCTAGTTCCTGTCAACTGACTGGTGTTACCCCCCATTTACTAAACTGGTATTTATAGTTTGCATGGAAAATTAAAAGCGCACACACAAGTGTTGTAGTCTACATTCACAGTCAACATAATCTGTACTATCCTAGTATTTCATCTGCAACTAAATACAGGATCTGTGCTACTTCATCATTTTATTCACAAATAGTTTGTGGAACTACTCTACACAGAAAAAGCACGAAACTAATGAGTAGGGGAAAGAAAGTATAAACTGCCAACTCGAGCAGCTTTTAAAAACAGTTCCACCAGACCGTTTCAAAATTTTCATTATCAGACAGACTGAAAAACACTATAAAAGTCACAGTTTTTTTGTTCTCTATTTGAAATATCTTTATGGAATGAGTGTTCACGGGACTTCTCTAAGACTTGCAAAATGCCGTAAGCCAGAGTCATCTTACTTAAGACAGATAAGTAACATGGTGTTAACAGCCAATATTTATCTTTAAATCTCTTCTCCAGAAATTAACTAAAAGAGAAACATCATTATTTTATTAAAGCCATTAAACCAGTAGAAAAGTTACACCAAAATTTTGAAAAATTTTCTTCAGCTAGTTATACATAAATAGATAGCAAAAGCTTCTACTTCAGACATAATTAAGCCTGTACTCCAGTTTCACTTATAATGAAAAATTATTATGTAAATATACAAAATATACCAGAGACATAAAAAAGTCACTTACTAAGCCAACAGAAATTTAAACAAGTAA